GCCTGGCAAGGTTGTGGACCAGATCATCCCAAGTGCAATCACTCAGCACCTACAGGGGGCACAAGAGATCAGACCCAGCCAGCATGGGTTTAGGAAGGGCAGGTCCTGTCTGACCAACCTGATCTCCTTTTATGACCAGGTGACCCACCTGGTGGATGAGAGGAAGGCTGTGGATGTGTCTACCTGGACTTCAGCAAAGCCTTTGACACCATCTCCCACAGCATACTGCTGAAAAACCGGCAGCCCACGGCTTGGACAGGGGCCCTCTGTGCTGGGTTAGGAACTGGCTGGAGGGCCGGGCCCGGAGAGTGGTGGTGAACGGTGCTGTGTCCGGTTGGCAGCCAGTCACTAGTGGTGCCCCCCAGGGATCAGTGTTGGGCCCAGTCCTGTTTAATATCTTTACTGATGATCCGGATGAGGAGATTGAGTGCACCATTAGCAAATTTGCAGATGACACCAAGCTGGGGGGGCGTGTTGATCAGCTGAAAGGCAGGAGGGCTCTGCAGAGGGACCTGGACAGACTGGAGAGTTGAGCTGATTCCAACGGGATGAGGTTCAACAAGGCCAAGTGCTGGATTCTGCCCTTTGGCCAGAACAACCCCCTGCGGCACTGCAGGCTGGGGAAAGAGTAGCTAGAGAGCAGCCAGGTAGAAAGGGACCTGGGAGTTTGGATTGACAGGAAGCTGAACATGAGCCAGCAGTGTGCCCAGGTGGCCAAGAAGGCCAATGGCATCCTGGCCTGGATCAGGAACAGTGTGGCCAACAGATCCAGGGAAGTGATTCTTCCCCTGTACTCAACACTGATGAGGCCACACCTGGAGTACTGTGTCCAGTTCTGGGCCCCTCAGTTCAGGAAGGATATTGAGGTGCTGAAGCAGGTCCAGAGAAGAGCAACGAGACTGGTGAAGGGACTCGAGCACAAGTCCTGTGAGGAGAGGCTGAGGGAGCTGGGGTTGTTCAGCCTGGAGAAGAGGAGGCTCAGGGGAGACCTCATCACTCTCTACAACTCCCTGAAAGGAGGTTGTAGACAGGTAGGAGTTGGTCTCTTCTCCCAGGCAGCTATCAGTAAGACAAGAGGGCATGGTCTTAAGCTGTGCCAGGGGGGTTTAGGTTAGATATTAGGAAGAAATTCTTTACAGAGAGGGTAATCAGGCATTGGAATGGGCTGCCCAGGGAAGTGGTGGATTCTCCGTCCCTGGAGGTTTTTAAGATGAGACTGGATGTGGCACTTAGTGCCATGGTCAAGTAACCACGATGGTAGTGGATCAAGGGTTGGACTTGATGATCTCGGAGTTCCCTTCCAACCCAGTTGATTCTATGATTCTGTGATTCTATGATCTTAGTGCTCCGATGCATCTCTATGTCTGCCTTACCTTTAAGTTAAATCTCTGATGCAGACATTCTGTAATAATACTTGGAAGTATTTGCATCCAGTCTAAAGAACCTTTTAGTTCTAGTTTTAAATTAAGGACTCCAGTGGTTTCAGTCCTTGATAAGTAAAGCAGTTGGATTTCACACCAATCACACCAAGACTCAGTTACATTTTAGTCACAGCAGTGAAGTGATGCATGAAACTGACTGTACTGTAAAATCTCATTGTTATATGGATGAGGAAATGGACTGGCTCCAGACAGTAAAACAATCCCAAGACAGGGAAAAATACATATTGAAGCTTTCAGCAGAGAGAATTGTTCAGAATTAAATGTATTCTTTTGTTAGGGGGCAATAAACCGTGATCTAAAGGTAATTAGGCAATGGGAACTGTTCTCATGTGTCAGTATGATGCTACCAGAGTACAGTATACGTTGTTCACAGAGTATGCAAGCTCACCTTATCCCACTAAGCACTGGAGTTCTGTGGAGCAGAGTAAAAAAGCATGTAGGTATAGGTGTTTACCTCCAAATGGATTTTAATAGAGGATGACTTGTGTATGTCCTGAACTGTTTATTTAGGCTGTTCTTCTCTGCTTGAACTTATTTATTTTCATGTTTTTGAAATCACTAAAATAAGACCTTTCTGCTATTATTTTTGTCCATTTCAAGCTGGACTCTGATACCTAAAATATAGCAAAGTGCAGAGAATTTGCATTTTAACTGAAAACTCTGGGATCTGGTGGTCCCAAAATCTGATAATAATCATGATCAGAATGCCTTCAGTAGATAACAAGGAGAATTCATGCAATTTTGCATTGAAAATTTTCCCGTAGGTTTTTCAAATATAGAAAAAATACACTAGATAAAATGCGTATTGCTACTACTTGATTTCAGAATACCTGAGAAGTGTACCCAGAGAAAATGTTGAGCCCTCATTGAAAACTGCTTAGTCCTTCATACTGCATAGAGAAAAAAAATTGTGCTAATTATCTGGTTATTCCCTCCTATGCTTCAAGCAAATCATCAGCTTCCCACAGTCCTGAGTCAACTACACCCTGAGACCCTGCAAAGACTTCCGAAAGGCATCAGAAGTAGGAGTTTGAAGGCAGTGAGCAAAGCCTTCCTTCCAGTGAAAGCCCTTTGTCAGGTCAACCGTTGCCATTTAAATTGAGCAGTTATGTATTGAAGCTAATAGTGTAACATCGTGATGGATATAATATGCCCTCTGCAGGAAAACCCCCCCACGCAGGTCCTTTACATGGCAGTGCTTTCTCTCTCTGCTAGTCTCATTACAAGGACTCATTTCTGTTTTGATAATACAGCAGTGCTAATAGGTATTAGCTCAATGCAGGAAGGAGGAGTGTTGAGCCTGAGGGGAAATGTCATCTGTGATAGAGTAAATTTTATTCAGTCCCCCAACCATCTTCTAGACACAGAAGATGGGCCCTCTTTACTAACCAGTTTGTTACTGGAAGCCTTGTTTCATATGTTACCTCAGCTGAATTAAGTCTAAATTAAGCCTTTGAGCATTTTATTCTAACTCCATCAGTACCATCAGCAGATGCCATCATAGTCCACGGTCAGCCTGGACTGCCCAATAAGAGTCTGCTCATATTAGTATCCATTCCCCTGCATTGCTGTAGTGTTAAAGTGTGAATGATCCAGGCTTTCCCCTGAAGAAATCTCATTAATCATAAAGACAGAAAATTTTCAACCCTCTTCTTCCTTTGGGAGATTTTTCCTTCACATCTATTGGCTGAAATGAATAGTAGCCAGATAGTGTTTTGCTTTACCAGTTAGCAAAGCTGGTGGCAAACGTTTAGAGGAGTGGGAAACACTTCCCTGTGAAGAGAATTAGCCTGTCTTGCTGTGAGAAGGGGTGGCTTTGGAGAATGACAGTGGAGAAAAAAATACCATCTGTTAAAACAAAGAAGTCAATATTCCCTGGACTTGTAAGTCCTGGATAAGGACATTCACAGTGTATTTTTCTCCCAGTGCATAAGTATACCACCAGCCCCATTGATTTTGTGCTTATATCAGGAGAATGATCTATACCTCTTTTGGAGAGATGCTAACTCTCTGGGGAGAACCACTGAGATTTCATGGTGACATGTATCACAATTGCTATAAAATCGCAATTTATCTGCTGAATTCCCATTGACTGAGATAACACCTTGCCAGGAAAGTGAATCTGCTATGATTTTCTATAATAGCACTCCTGACATTTATGTATCCTTGCCCCTTGCTTATCTGCCTTGTGAATATCTCCAGGTCAGAATGTAAAGGTACATGATATTTACAAATCACAGCTTTTTCCACTACTTACTTTGTGATGTTGACAAGGACTGAATCACAGAAGGTATGAAGTGTCTTTGTTGTAAGTTTTCACATATTTTTATTAAAGCACAGGCAAAGGTGCTCTCAGGACCAGAAATGATGTTGACCTATTATACATGCCCATGAAAATCTGGTATGTTCACAAACACTACACTGTTATCTCAGTTCTCATTTCAGCCATCTCTATTTTCTTGTTGATGTTTCTGTTAGCAAAAGCTGTTTGGAGTTGAACTCAACACAAGTTCACGCGTCCTCCTGTCCTGAATGAATTATTGAGCTTTTAAACACTAATAGAATCCTAAAGAAAGAAGAAAGCAGAAAAGGAAGGAAAAAGAAATCAAAAAACTTTAGAAATAGAACTCATTAAATTTGTTGCTTCTGTATGTGTTACAAGTGTGGAATATGTATTTATAGAAGGGGTTATTTGTTTTGTGTTAGCTTTATAAGGAAAAGCAAGAAACAGCACTTAAAGTCACAGCTGATAGTCTATAAGTTATTTTTATGACTGGTTTTACTGCTTGTTTACATGACAGATCTCACAGAGATACCAGGCTCTTAAACATCAACCAACTACTGGCATTCAATGAACGTCATTAGTTTTAATTGTATTTATTTTTATGCCTATTATAGTAACATTTACCAGCTGAAATTAATATTACTTAGATTGGTTTCTCCATCTAAAAGTGAGTTATCTAAACTCTGTCCATAAACAATACAGACAGGCAACTTGAGAAAGCAAGTCATGTAGCCTGTCCTAAATGCTCTTGTGAGGAAGGGATGAATCACTCCCCAGTTTCTCTACTGACCACAGAAAGGGTCTTGTTTAAAGTGTTTGCCTTTTCTATGCCTGCAGTTAGGCAAAAGAAGTTATGCTCATAGTAACAAAATAGATTTTATCATCTAAGTCAGTCAGGTATAAACAGAGGAGGGAAGAGTGTAGCAGAGGTGGAATCTCTTGCCCAGGGATCCAACAGATAAGTGATAAGGCAAATAAAATGACTAGTCTTCAGCTTTCGGGCCAATATTTTATTTCAAGCCTTCCTTTCACCTTTATAGTTGGTGTGAGCTTTGCTATGGGAATCAGTGGGAACAGGGTGACTGCCTGGATGGCCACCTGTAATGATTTAAAATTGGTAGGTTTATGTTTATCTGTTCAGAAATCGCTGCTACGCTTCACCTATTTTTCAAACAGTGTCCCATAACTTTGTGTTATTTACTACCTAGGGAGCAGTATAAACCAGAGGAATGACCCACTCAAACCTCACTAATGAAACTTCTTTTGCATTGCAGTTGACCTGGACAGGTTGAATGATGACGTGAAACGTTACAGCTGCACCCCGAGAAACTACTCTGTCAATTTAAGGGAGGAACTGAAGCTGACAAATGTAGTTTTCTTCCCCCGCTGCCTCCTTGTCCAGCGCTGTGGAGGAAACTGTGGCTGTGGGACTCCGAACTGGAAATCTTGCATGTGCATGTCAGGGAAAACAGTGAAAAAATATCATGAGGTATTTTCATTCTTTCTTTGTTACTTCTTTTGGGTATTTATTGCTTCCATGGATTCTGAAGTTTTTTCTCCGAGCCATGTGTGCTGCTTGTTAACTGACTATCACGTTAATATTGATCCATGCTATATCATGTTATATTATCATTATGCTATATCATGTTATATTAACATGCTTATATTGATTATCATGTTGTATCTGCAGTGCAAAAATCAATGGGTAAAAATTACCGACACGGTGAAGGGTCATAGGCGAAGATGCCATCATTTGAAAGACACCACAGTATTTGGGTGAATGCCTTCTGTGCTTACCACTCTTCCTGAGATGAAGAATCTGCTTAGGCTTTAAGACAGATTCAGGTAGCTTTAAAGTGAAAACATAGATAACAGCATCTCTATTGCTGTCCATGCAAGATACCAGCTTGGTACCTCATGGAGCATCATTTGTACCTTCCACTGCAATAAGGCATAGAGACAGAGATGCACAAAGAGTCAACATGCAGGAAGGCCTAATTTTAAATGTTTAATATTGATGTCTTTAATGCCACAACATCACCCAGTGATATGCATTTGGAAGTGGTGAATGAACAGAGTGGAAGGAGGTTATGTATGTGTGAGAAAGGAGTGTTAGCAGGTGTTTATGGGTAAGTTAATTTAGAAGCAGTTAGAGAGAACTTTTGCCACCTCTGAGTGGATGCTACCACAGCATCCTAGTGAATTTTGTTGCAAGAATGAGGACTGATTTTTCCCATCAGAGGACTGCTACAAAGTGGATATATATACCTCTGGAAATAGTCTTTTTAGTAGCACAGAGACATGTGTTCCTTGAGACATTTGACTGCACTTCCTCTTGCTTTAAACTTATGCCCACATTTGGAAATTATAAGTAAGTCCTTTGCAAACTCTCTTCCCTTCCAGATTTATTACCTGTAGGAAACAGCTGAATCATTCAGCCTTATCTTTTCTCCAACTCAGCAATTTTTTAGGAAGGCAAAATTTTTGCATAGGAACGATGTCCATTATGTTTATTTTTAATCTGTTCAGAACACATTTAGAGAGGGAAAATACAAGGAAAGAGCATTTTATATTCTTGCCTCTAAATCAGTATTTTCAGATCAAGACATGAACAATGTTGACTAAAGTGAAGATATCTAGGAAAGTTACTTGGTAGCAGCCTTTTAACAGTCTGAACATAGGGAAGCTGCATGCCATGCTGACTTAATTTCTGACACATCAGGCTCTTGTTAAGAGCCTGATTTACCACTTGGCTTAAGTCCCAAGTGAAAATAAACTTTATGGACTTTAAACCTGGATTTGATGTGGACTCGTAACATTAAGACATTATCTGGGGAGACCCAGGGCTGCAATAGCAGAGGGTCGTTGAAGGTCAGACCTTTGCCACACTATGAGCGATGTGGTTACTCTTTTGCAAGGTAAGCGATATTTTCTCACAATTAACTGTGGCATACAGCATACTTCACATCAGCTAGGACTAGAGAATAGTTAATATTTTCTCTAATTTTAAACAAGATGCAGGGAATGACCCTGGTAATTACAGAGCAGAAAGCCTTATCTCAATGGTGGAAAAGTTAATTGGAAAAAAAATTAATAGGTTTACGACACCTAGATGACTATGAGCTGATAAAATGAACTTGGAATGCCTTATATATGAATAAATATTTATACAGCGCTACAACAAGAATGCTAAAAGGCCTGGAACCTTCTTCAGTGAGCAAACAGTCAACCAGACAAGATCAGACAGGGATTATAAGCTGGTTAAGAGATAAAAAGTAAAGAGGTGGAAGAGATGAACAATTTTCTAAATAAGAAAGGGCTACATGAGGTGCCCCCAGCACATAGACTAAGTGTTATTTCATGTATGATCAGTCTGAATGGAGGTGAACAGACAGGTGGAAAAAATGACAGCTAGCACAGGAGACACCGTAACAGCAGAGAAGGCTGTGAGGAATTTCAGAAAGCCTAGGTAACTACTTGTAAATGCAGGTTATAAAAGTAGCAAGCATTAGGACGAATGGTCTAAACTATCTATTCATATAACACTAGGTGTGTGAAGGGAGGAGGAAGAAATGAGGGGTGGAAGTTATGCTAAAAGTTGAGTAGTGAGTCACTGTGAAGAGCTTCAGGAAAACAGCTGTTTAGTGCAGTGATAGGAAAAAGACAAGTGACAGTCTTCTGCAGGAATGGAGATGAAGGGGTAATAACATAGCAGATATTGTAACCTAGATAAATTGGTGGGGTACTTATGCTGGGTTTTGACCATTGGTGCTTATAATGGTACAGGTAGGACTAGAAAAGTTATATAGAAGCAGTTAACATACATCAAGAGAGATACAGGGGAAGATACAGATCAAAGACATTTGTAAAGAAAATGTCTCAAAAGTTTTGCATGATATCACTTAGAAACAAAACTCAGAATAAGAGAGAACACAGTGAAAGATAGAAAATAATGAATACTAGTTAAAGGAAAATCAGGTCTTCCTAAATAATCTCTTCCTTAAGAAAAAAAACAAGAGAGAGATTGAAAGGAAACTAACTTAAAATGGAAAAACGGTATCATATTTTTTTCACAGTAAATCTGTATAAAATTTCAATGCTTAAATATGAGCTGTGCATAATTCAGAAGAGTTCTGAAAGAACTAGAAGTAAAATATAAACTAAGGAATTCTGGGTTACACCTGTATCAGAATTTAAGCCAACTGTTGACAGCAGCTAGTAAAAAAATGCTGATTATAAACGTTATCAAACATTTACTTGTTATCAGGTGTTTGGAAGCTGCTGGTGCTGGGACACCAGAATATCACACTAGCCAAATATTGCTCAGAACCAGGATGTCATGACTTACGACCGCACCAAACTAATCACTAAATTCAGGAAATTCAGCATTCACACTAATACATCACTGCTAATTTATTTTCCCATTCCTTTTTTCTCCAAAAACTGTATGAATTCAAGACAGTGTTTCATCTCTCTACCATTAAATGGCCTTTGTAAGTTTAAATTTAAACTTAACCCTTAGGCATGAATTAGCAGCTCACTGGGCAGAAATTTAGCCAAGTGTCTCCCATTAATGCGAGTGGAAGTCATGCAGATAAATTCACGTATCACATACTAAAGATGTGCTCGTTAATTTTAGTCCAAAATGTTTTCCACTCTATTATTATTATTAGGCATGCATAGTTAATCAGTTTTATTCTTATTATCCTTTGACTCTTAACTCTAATTTTACTTAAATACCTGGCAGTAAAGGCCCTGAGGAAGGGCCTCTCAGTATGCCAGTTTTAGAACCATGGAGACAGTTTACTCTCTTAAAAGCCAGGTTGAAACCTATTAACCTTAACCAAAGAGCCTTTAGTTGCATAACAAGGGACAGAGCTTCACACTTTAAGAAATTCCTAGCACTGTTAATTTGGTTAAAAATCTCTGTTTCTACTGCTGCAGGAGAAGAAAGGCCAGAAGACACCAGAAGGAAGTATTAGGTAGTGGAGCAAAGCAGATGTTTGTAGTAGCTGAAACGGAGTCCCGCAGATCCCAGACCACTTCTCTTGCCAGGCTAATTTTCCCTAACTGCTATTCTGGGGCTTTATCTACTGAGCTCCGGAACCCACAAGAGTTGTTTGTCCTGCACATGAATATGGTTGTCCTCAACAGTAAAAACTTGTCTGGAGATCGCTTAAAAGTTGAGTGGAATTTCTGAGCTACCCAGTATTTCTGGGTGAGAAGGACAGGCAGGCAAATTTTCCAGAAGGGATGGCCTCCTTTTTGGCTTTGTAGCCAGTATTGGAATAGCTGCATGCTGGCAGCTGTGAGGGCTCTAAGGTCCAGTGTTGGTTGACAGAGAGGCTTCTAATGCAGAGAGATTCAAAAGTTATATTCTCCTTATGCTTTTAATGTTTTTTAGTTCCCCCTTAGTTCCTGTTCAAAGCCTCACACTGTACTCATCACCAAGCACTCCCTCCTAGCCTAGCCTCTCAGGATTAATAGCTATGACATGTAGCCTTTAATTTCTCCAAGCTAAGAGTGCTGCTCCAGTTCCCTGGGTGGAATGTACAGATCTCTTCTATCTTGTCCAATTGTAAGAAGTGATGCAACAGCAGGAAATGAGAATATATACCCCTACAGTAAGGGGTAGCTTTTTTTTATTGCCCTGGGGAATGTTAATCATGAGATCTCAAGTCTTTTTTATGGCCTGGAAGTTTGCCATGACTTTACTAAAATACTCTGTTTCCAGAAATAAACAGGTTCATAACTTGGATAAACAGATAGTTTTATAGGTGGGGTTTTTTGGGTGTTTGTTTTCTTTTGTTCTGTTTTGCAGGAGTCTTGTGATGCTCTGTGGTTTTCCATGGCTTCTGGGTTTGCTTGAGACCAGAGCAAATACTCTGGACAAAGACTCATGACTTACCACATAGTATCACAGACCGTTCAAACCAAACAGGTCAAGTCCTGGCAGTGTCTGAAAATGTCTCCTGGGCACAGTCTGGCATAAGTGATACTGAATTATGTTGTGCGGCTCCCTGCAGGGGAAAGACAAAGCAACATATGGAAATGGATGCAACACACCTTAATCAAATGCTCAGGTCTACTTCTGTCTTAACTTTCTAAAGGGGACTTGAAATGAAAGCATGTTTTTCATTGCACCACATTTCTTTGGAAATGCCTGGAGCTGCTCTTTAAAGAGAGGTGGGTTCTAAACCTGGAGATCACTCAGCCCAGAGGAGGTGTGGGGGAACTCAGTGCCAGAACTCAGTTCAGCTGCAGCTGTCTTATCCAACCAGCATGCATATACCTCAGAGAAACAAGAAATCAGTTTCCCCATCTCATTGCTGTAACTGATGAGATGTGAAATGAGTTTCCGTAGGGAATAAGTGCTCTTAAGGTAGCAACCAGAATTTGTCAGAGTGTATAAACCTCCACAAACACAGTGCTGAGCAACACAGCTAAAAAGCATATAAGGAAAAAAGCAAAGTAGTGAAAGCTGATTGC